CCGAGGCGTAGCTGGCAAGCGGCAGAGACGGAGCAGGCCGACCACCAGCTGGCCCAGCCCAAGGGAGGTAAGGCACCCGCCGGAAAAGGGGGGAAAAATGGCGGACAAAAAAAAATGGCGGACAGCCTTGCTTGGCGACCCCCATGAAATGGTCGATCGACCCCAAATGGGGTCCCGACCCACAGGTTGAGAACCACTGCTCTAGTCCAACCCCCTGCTCAGGCAGGAAACCCTACACCATTTCAGACAAATGGCTGTCCAGTCTCTTCTTAAAAACTTCCAGTGTTGGAGCATTCACCGCTTCTGGAGGCAGGTTGTTCCACTGGTTAATTGTTCTCACTGTCAGGAAATTTCTTCTTAGTTATAGGTTGCTTCTCTCCTTGATGAGTTTCCATCCGTTGCTTCTCGTCCTGCCTTCAGGCGCTTTGGAGAATAGCTTGACTCCCTCTTCTTTGTGGCAGCCCCTGAGATACTGGAAGACTGCTATCATGTCCCCCCTCGTCCTTCTCTTCGTTAAACTAGACCTACCCAATTCCAGCAACCGTTCCTTATATGTTTTAGCCTCCAGTCCCTTAATCATCTTTGTTGCTCTTCTCTGCACTCTTTCTAGAGTCTCAACATCTATTTTATTTTTAGTGAGACATCAAAGTTAGTGACCCAGAAGGAGATCAGCGAAGTACTTCTGACTCTCGTCTCAAAGGTGCTTTTCAAAGGCAACTGGATTTCCTTGTTTTTTTAAAAAAATGTTTCACTTCTCATCCGAGAAGCTTCTTCAGTTCTAGAACTGAAGAAGCTTCTTAGCAATAAGACTTAGACTGACATACTGCTCCACGATGCCTTGCAGCCCCCTCTAAGCGGTTTACAGAGTCAGCATGTGGCCTCCAACATATCTGGGTCCTCATTTTACCGACCTCGGAAGGATGGAAGGCCGAGTCAACCTTGAGCCGGTCAGGATCGAACTCCTGGCTGTGGGCAGAGTCTGCCTGCAATACTGCATTCTAGCCACTGATGAGAAGGGTGACAACTGACTGGGTGACTGACTGAATAGTTTTCACAGAGATTTGCTCTAAGCCTTTGGGTGACCAAAACACTGTGGTGAAGTAACGTGTATAGTTTAATCTTTCAGAAATCGGTCTTACCAAGGATACCGCATCTGGCTCTTCAGCGAGCTCTTTCAAACTCAGACTTTTTTTGCTGGAGACCTGTACAGAAAATAAACAGATTGGGGTTACTCGCCAAAAGGGATCCAATAGGCTTCACAAGTTGGAAGCCTAGAGCCTCCAATCTCACTCTGTTCTGCTAAACTAAATTCAACAGGTCAAGCCTTGTCAGACCCTTAAACTTTAAGTTTCCTTTTGGTCCTCCTGGAAGCAAAAACAGAGCTACGGTGGAAGATTTATTTCATATCTCAAAGGTTCTGGGTTAATTCTCAGTCATTCCATTGGAAAATGCAGACCTGCTTTCAGTTAGCAGCTGGGTCTGCACCCTTGAGCCTGTTCTCAACTAAGAAGAATAGGGAAAACTAATCAGAAAGCGGAAAAGAAAGCTAAAGAGATCGACAAGGAAGAAAAAGAAAGGAAGAAGGAAGTAATAAAGAAGGGGCTTAGCAGCAATTATGAGGACATTTGTGCTTTGTCCTTCCTAAGGTTACTTCATAATTTCCTTCTTTCTGTAATCTACCTTTTATAGGCATCAAATCCGTAAATTCATTTTCCCCCCAGCAAAAGGGGTTTCCAGTGACTAATCAATGTAGTTCAGTGGTTCTCAACCTTTTTAATGCCGCGACCCCCAACCGGTCGTAAGTCGAGGACTAAACTGGTCATAAGTCGAGGACTACCCAACCGGTCGTAAGTCGAGGACTTTCCCTGCCCGGGAGCGCCGCGCATGCGTGGTTCCGCCCCCTGCGCCGGCCGAGGCGTAGCTGGCAAGCGGCAGAGACGGAGCAGGCCGACCACCAGCTGGCCCAGCCCAAGGGAGGTAAGGCACCCGCCGGAAAAGGGGGGAAAAAAATGGCGGACAGCCTTGCTTGGCGACCCCCGTGAAATGGTCGATCGACCCTAAATGGGGTCGCGACCCATAGGTTGAGAACCGCTGATGTAGTTGTTAATCTTTCTCCAAGCAAGCAAGTTACATTTTGCCATCTCTGCTAGTTCGGTCATCTTCACCAACCATTCCTCCCCAGCTGGGGTCTTCAACCTCGGCCACTTTAAGACTTGTGGACTTCAACTCCCAGAATTCCTCAGCCAGTTGAAGTCCACAAGTCTTAAAGTGGCCAAGGTTGAGGACCCCTGCTTCACAGTGAGTGTTTCAGAGTCTTTCCATTTTTGTGCATAAGGTAGCCTTGCCAACAACCCCCCCCCTCTTCTGACCTATGACTGAGGGGGGCCAGAGGGCTCCCCCTGAATGCCCATCATAGAGAGGAGAAGGGAACACCTGTAAGTGGGTGCAGACTCGCCGCAAAACATCATAGACGCTGTCTCGGGAAATGAGGGACACAAAGATGTACTGGAAGAGAAAAAGAACACGGCATGCGTAAGTAAACTCCAGGCCACATCAGGCCCCGAACCAAGAAAGACACACGGTGGCCCTTCCAAGCAGAGACCTTTATGCCTTCACACCCACAGGTAGTTCTTGACTTACAACCGTTCGTTTAGTGACGGTTCGAAGTTACGACAGCACAGAAAAAAGTGACTTATGACTGGTTTTTTTAATACCTATGACCGTTGCAGCATCCCCAGGGTCAAAATTCAGACACTTGGCAACCGGCATGTATTAGCAGAATAACGGAGTTGGAAGGGACCTTGGAGGTCATCTAGTCCAACCCCCCCCCCCGCTCAGGCGGGAAATCCTATATACCATTTCAGACAAAGAAGTTGTGGGTGCTGTATCCCTGGAGGTTTTTAAAGAAGAGATTGATTGTCCAGTCTCTTCTTAAAAACCTCCAGGGATGCAGCACCCACAACTGACAGTTAGAACAATTAACCAGTGGAACAACCTGCCACCAGAAGCGGTGAATGCTCCAACGCTCGAAGTTTTTAAGAAGAGACTGGACAGCCATTTGTCTGAAATGGTATAGGTTTCCTGCCTGAGCAGGGGGTTGGACTAGATGACCTCCAAGGTCCCTTCCAACTTTATTATTATTATTATTAACTTCTGGAGGCAAGTTGTTCCACTGATTGTTCCTCACTCCTCACTCAATTGTTCCTCATCATATGACACACACACACACACACAAAGACACACAACCAGGACACAGCAACCCTCATAAATACTTTCTGTCAAGTATTTTGTGATCTTCTGGCGAGCAAAGTCAATGGGGAAGCTGGACTACTGTATGGGAAATTCCCCCCCTTGCGCCCGGCTTGCGGCCTCTTCGGATAAGTTCCAGATGTGCTGGGGAACAACTGTCTCTGCACCCAGCTGGGGGGGGGGGGGCAACAGGACTTATAGTCCAAACCATTGGGGAAGCTACCTCAAGAAACCTGATCAACCTCAAGAGGAGATGGAAGGGCTGAGTGGAGCCCCTTACTGACCTTCCCAGGGCTTAATAAAGCAAGTCAGGATTTGAGTCACAAGGGAAGTTTTAAGCTCCGTAACCCCTTCCCTCCCTATTGAGGGTTTGGATTGGAAGAAACTGATGCATCTGGAAAGTTTTGTGGGTTTCATTTTCGGAAAGCTCATAAATGGAAATTCATCTGTTCCAAATTTACACGGCTGGAGCATCGGAAGCTGCTGCCGTCTCCCCTTCCCGCTCTGGCCCTTCAATCACCGCCAGCACTTTCCCAGTGCTGCACAACTTGAGCGCAGTGGCTTTAAAGCAGGGGTAGTCAACCTTGGCTCTTTTATGACTCGTGGACTTCAACTCCCAGAATTCCTGAGCCAGCATGGCTCAGCTTGGAAACCTCTCCCTTTTCCCTCAGCATGGCTGGCTCAGGAATTCTGGGAGTTGAAGTCCACGAGTCATAAAAGAGCCAAGGTTGACTACCCCTGCTTTAAACAGTAAGACTCTGCCTAACTCCTTCCAGTGCTGAAGGCCAGAAGGAAGACGTTCTAATGAAGGTTTGATGTTGTGCCAAAGTCTGCAATCTGTCCATTGGGAAAGTTATCTGTGTCCGGAATGTCTTGGAAAGAAAAAAAGTTACCGATGTCCTGATATTATTCTCTGTCGATTTCTCCAAGTGGTGACATTTCTTCCCTAACCTGCCTGCCTGGGGGCAATTCACTGCCAAAGTAGTCAACAAATTGTCCCTGAGCACGTCTTTAAATCCCAAGTAAGATGTGAAAAGGAGCGGAACATCTGAGCTTCAAAAAGGCCGAGTTTTGCTTTATTTAGGCGTGGTGGATCTGGTGGGTTCATACAACATAAACAAAACCACGTTTGTTGGCTTAGCACCATGTCAGAACACAGCCAAAGAGGTGTCAGAAAAGAAGAGCATATTCAGATACATGTATGCAATGATACGAAAATTCACTCATATTCTGGGTAATGTCTGTTAGCAGAAAAATGGTCTGAGGAGCCTAGTGGAGATCTGCAACTGCAACTCCCATAATCCCCCAGCCACTCATCATTTATCAGGGGCAGAAAGGCCACACGTGGAATACTGCATCCAGTTTTGGTCACCACGATGTAAAAAAGATGTTGAGACTCTAGAAAGAGTACAGAGAAGAGCAACAAAGATGATTAGGGGACTGGAGGCTAAAACATACAAGGAACGTTGTTGGAATTGAGTATGTCTAGCTTAATGAAGAGAAGGATGAGGGGGGACATGATAGAAGTCTCCAAGTATCTCAGGGACTGCCCCAAAGAGGAGGCAGTCAAGCTATTCTCCAAAGCGCCTGAAGGCAGGACAAGAAGCAACAGATGGAAACTCATCAAGGAGAGAAGCAACCTGGAACTAAGGAGAAACTTCCTGACAGTTAGAACAATTAACCAGTGGAACAACCTGCTTCCAGAAGCTGTGAATGCTCCAACACTGGAAGTTTTTAAGAAGAGACTGGACAGCCATTTGTCTGAAATGGTATAGGGTTTCCTGCCTGAGCAGGGGTTGGACTAGATGACCTCCAAGGTCCCTTCCAACATCATCATCATCATCATCATCATCATCATCATCATCATCATCATCATCATCATCATCATCATCATTTAGAAAGAGTAGAAACTTTAATCTCAGCTTGGCAGAAAAACCAGTGCCCTGGATTTGGCCACAGAAGGAACAATAGCCAGCAATACTTACTTTTCTGCTGGCGTTGGTGGTGATCGCGAGTCCATTTGGCAACAACCGGGCTGTTTTGTGCTTTTTTATTAGTTGGACAGAGACCACAGGAATCACAACCTGAAATGAAAAAGAAGTTGTAGAATGTCAATTTTTAAAATTTTATTTTAGCATATAAACAGATTTAGGGATTGATTTAGGACAGGGGTCTTCAAACTTGGCCCTTTTGTGACTTGTGGACTTCAACTCCCAGAATTCTGTGAGCTAAAGTCCACAAGTCATCAAAGGGCCAAGTTTGAAGACCCCTGCTTGTGGACTTCAACTCTCAGAATTCCTCAGCCAGGCACTCTGGCTGAGGAATTCTGGAGCTGAAGTCCACAAGTCATAAAAGAGCCAAGTTTGAAGACCTCTGATTTAGGAAATGTACAACATATGGAGGATCATCCTATATACTCAGTCCTGGGCAACTAACAAGTCTGATTTTGTCTTCCAGGGACACATCTGGCGTTATGGACTCCACCACAGGTAATCCTTGACTTACAAACAGTTCATTCAGTGACCGTTCAAAGTTACAACGGCACTGAAAAAAATGACTTACGGCCGTTTTTCAGGGTTACGGCCTTTGCAACATCCTCGTAATCATGTGATCCAAATTCAGAGGCTTTGCAAACTGGTTCATACTTACGACCGTTGGTTGCTGTGCCCCAAAGTCATGTGATCCCCTTTTGCGACCTTCTGACAAGCAAAGTCAATGGGGAAGCCAGGTTCACTTAACAACCGTGTGACTCACTTAACAACTGCAGTGATTCGCTTAACAACGGTGGCGAGGAAGGTCGTAAAATGGGGCAACATTCACAACAAATGTCTCACTTAACAACAGAAGTTGGGCTCCATTGTGGTTGTAAGTCAAGGACTGCCTGCGCTTAGTTGTTACTCACCTTTGCTTTCCAAGGAATACGCAGGAGCCTTCTCCAGCTCAAAGGAGTACGCAGAGTCAAGGCCAGCGGGCCGGAGAAGAAGCCCCAACTGTCCCACCTTTGTGGCCTGCCCAGAATGCCTCTCCCTTTCTTTTTGCAGGCTTAATAATAATGATAAAGTTGGAAGGGACCTTGGAGGTCATCTAGTCCAACCCCCTGCTCAGGCAGGAAACCCTATACCATTTCGGACAAATGGCTGTCCAATCTCTTCTTAAAAACTTCCAGTGTTGGAGTATTCACCGCTTCTGGAGGCAGGTTGTTCCACTGGTTAATTGTTCTAACTGTCAGGAAGTTTCTCCTTAGTTTTAGGTTGCTTCTCTCCTTGATTGGTTTCCATCCGTTGCTTCTTGTCCTGCCTTCGGGTGCTTTGGAGAATAGCTTGACTCCCTCTTCTTTGTGGCAGCCCCTGAGATACTGGAAGACTGCTATCATGTCCCCCCTCGTCCTTCTCTTCATTAAACTAGACATACCCAATTAATAATAATAATAATGATAAAGTTGGAAGGGACCTTGGAGATCATCTAGTCCAACCCCCTGCTCAGGCAGGAAACCCTACACCATTTCAGACAAACGGCTGTCCAGTTTCTTCTTAAAAACTTCCAGTGTTGGTGCATTCGCAGCTTCTGGAGGCAGGTTGTTCCACTGGTTAATTGTTCTCACTGTCAGGAAGTTTCTCCTTAGTTCTAGGTTGCTTCTCTCCTTGGTTAGTCTCCATCCTTTGCTTACCTTGATATCCTTCCCAAAAAGGTTTGCATAGAAGCAGAGCCAGTTTGGAGAAATGTAGAGACGGCCCTGGATCAGGATGTCTCGCTGAAGGGCGCAGGAGCAGACTGAAAATAAAACAGACACAGGCTGCAGCCAGGAATGCTTTTAACCTCAAGAGTGGTCATCAGCCAAGGAGGGGATAGGCAGATGTGAAAGAAGACAGCAGGAGACTGATGACAGCCTTGTAAATAAAAAAGAAAGGCAGAGGAGCAGATGGCATTTTAATCCCGGTTCGTTTCCCGTTGAAGCTATCCAGCACCCTCTGAAAGGAACAAAGCTGGGAAAGATTGGAGTAGAGGCCTGGCAACAGCACTGAGCCGTTGTTTTTTATTTTATTTTATGGTCCTTCCTTCCTTACCTTTAACCACGCTTTCTTCAGTGGGGATGTCCTTGAATAACTTGTGATACTGAGAATTATACTTATTGGGAGCCTAGAGAGAAAACAGATCCAAGCGTCAAGACCATGCAAAAGACTGGCCAAAGGCAGATCTCGAGTAGCTTAGCAGTTGTTTTTCAAAAAGGGGCAAGAAGAACAGACCAGATCAAAAAAAAAAAAAGAGGCCAGACACTATTGGCCTTAAGGTTCGTTTAGCCACTGCTGAATCACCAAACCAGAACTGGCTGAGTTCACACAACACGCGAAGCCCTCTGTTGCTTGAACTCAGCAGCTCTAAGCTATGTGGACTTCAACTCCCAGAATACCCAGGCAGCAGAAGTTGAATCCATGCAGATGGACTTCCTTCTCATCTATTCCAACATAGCTATCGAGAAAAGTGGCCACGAGGCGTATCAAAACTATGACCATCCTCTCTCTCTCTCCCTGGCTTACCGTGACTTCTTGGTGACATTTCTTGAGTTCCTCATTCTTTACAGCGTTATTCAGATTCAGGCTGCAACAGAGATGGAGATGGAGAGAAATACAATTGTTGAATGCCTTTGGATCTATCTCTATTTCTCTATCTATCCCTCTTTCTCTTTCTCTCTGTATGTATGTATATATGTCTAACCCTATCTATCTATCTATCTATCTATCTATCTATCTATCTATCTATCTATCTATCTATCTATCTATCTATCTATCTATCTATCTATCTACCTACCTACCTACCTACCTACCTACCTACCTATATCTCTCTATCTATCTCTGTCTGTCTATCTATCTCTTTATATCTGTCTGTGTGTCTACCTACCTACCTACCTATCTCTGTCTATCTCTCTATGTCTCTCTGTCTGTCTGCCTGTGTCTGTCTGTCTATCTTATCTACCTACCTACCTACCTATCTATATCTCTGTCTGTCTACCTATCTCTCTATATCTGTCTGTCTGTCTGTCTGTCTATCTCTCTTATCTATCTGTCTACCTGTCTGTCTATCATTGTCTGTCTGTCTGTCTGTCTATCTGTCTGTCTGTCTATCTATCTATCTCACAGCGTCTTGCTTAGCGACAGAAATTGTGGCCCCGATTGTGGTGACTAGGGGAAACGCTCGCGATTGGGGCGGGGGTTGGAAAGAGTCCCCCGGGGGTGCGGATGCATGCATCATCGGCTGGGGGGTGCAACACGGGCGCCCCGACTCAAATCTTTGCCCCAGCTCCCCCTTCTCCAAGAGGGGCGCCTTTTGCACCGATGCAGGCATGTGGGCATTTTGCACGCTTGTAAGAGATCCCCACAGATTTCTTTCCCCCCCCTCTTGAGGGTCTGTCCAAGCCCCTCCTTGGACTGCCCCAGATCTATTTTAGGGCTCTGCTGCCTTGATTGCACCCCCTCCCCAAATTGCTCCCTAACCTCTGGTTAGCCACTCTGGAAAACAGGATACTGGACAATTTGTTTTATTTGGAATTTTTTTTTTTTTTAATCTTGCTCCAAATTTTACGACGCGTTGATTCCTGACGGCCTGCCCGCTGTAATTAGCCCCCATTCCTCCTCCCAAACATGCCGCCTGGCAGAGAGGCTGGCCTGGCCTGCCGCCCGCTAGAAAAAGCAGCTGGTGGATGTTCCTGAGATAAAAGCTGGCCTGGTTCCAGACGCTAGGACTTCCGGCCGAGCGTGACTGAGGTCAAGCTCACCTGCCATTCGGAGAACCCAAGTTCTTCTCCTTGTGCCAGGATTCCAGCTTGTCCAGGCTGTGCATGGGCCCCGATTTCTCATGCATTGGTTTGGAGCTGCAGGCAAATGGAGAAGGGGGAGAGAGAGAGAACACAGATCAGAAGGAAAGCGGGTTTGAACACAGTCTTACTGAAGTCAAAGCAGAAGGGACAGAATAACCGAGTTATCGTCTTTACGGCGGTTGCCGTGCTCCTGCGATCCCCTTTTGCCACCTTCTGACAAGCCAAGTCAATGGGGAATCCAGATTCATTTAACAACCATAGAATCAAGATCACGTGAAGCGTTAATACCACTTTACAAGGCCTTGGTAAGGCCACACCTGGAATACGGCATCCAGTTTTGGTCACCGCGATGTAAAACAGATGTTGAGACTCTGGAAAGAGTGCAGAGAAGAGCAACAAAGATGATTAGGGGACTGGAGGCTAAAACATATAAGGAACGGTTGCTGGAATTGGGTATGTCTAGTTTAACGAAGAGAAGGACAAGGGGGGACATGATAGCAGTCTTCCAATATCTCAGGGGCTGCCCCAAAGAAAAGGGAGTCAAGCTATTCTCCAAAGCCCCTAAAGGCAGGACAAGAAGCAACGGATGGGAACTAACCAAGGAGAGAAGCAACCTGGAACTAAGGAGAAACTTCCTGACAGTTAGAACAATTAACCAGTGGAACAACCTGCCTCCAGAAGCTGTGAATGCTCCAACACTGGAAGTTTTTCAGAAGAGACTGGACAGCCATTTGTCCGAAATGGTATAGGGTTTCCTGCCTGAGCAGGGGGTGGGACTAGATGACCTTCAAGGTCCCTTCCAACTACTACTACTACTACTACTACTACTACTACTACTACTACTACTTCCTTCTTTTTCTTATTACTACTACTACTACTACTACTACCACCACTACTACTATATTAATAACTGCAGCAATTCACTTTAACAACGGTGGCAAGAAAAGTCGTAAAATGGGGCAAAATTCCCCATTCCTGTCTCACTTAGCAACAGGAATTTTGGACTCGACTGTGGTTGTACGTCGACCACTATCTGTATACACACACACACTCCCCTCTACTACACAGAGAATCCCATAATGGCATTTCCCTCCCCCTGCTTAAAAGCTGTATTTCTCCAAGTCCACCTCCGATCCAGCCATCCGCACTGCAGGAGCGGGATTGCTCTAAAACCGCAACACAGATGGAGCACATCACGAAAACAATGTGGCTGAATAATCAGTTCTTCGGCAGGATGCAAGCAAGGGGTAACTTAGCAGTCTTGCACTACTAGACTGAATGGAGCAAACAGTAAGAGATAAGATAACAGGGAAACTAGGTGTGATTCTTGAGTCAGCCGAGCAACAGAGATAGCTACTGTTTCTTAATGGACTAACAAGATAGAAAAGTGATGGAAAGAGAAGACAGTTGCCTTCAAGAGTTGCACGTCTACCTGCTTCCAGCAGCCAAAGATTAAATTGGTCCTGTGGATTCTGACCCCGTTATCTAGCAAAGCCCAGAATATCTTTCCAAAGCTCCCTGCAAAGAAATTGTTCCTTAATTCAAGGAGAGAGAAATCAATCTAGCTTTAAAGGTCATAGTTATTAAAAATACGTAATTGATACTATTTACTAAGTACCACAATAATCAGCGTATATAAACAACCCTCTTTTAGTTACTCCTCTCTCTTTTCCCCAAAAATAGCATCCGAAGCAACGGGATACGGCTATCTGAAGCAGAGTTGCATCCTGTGTCTATGTTTGCTGATGATGTTGTCCATAGAGAGAATATGGTATTGTTAAGGTGGAGAGGCTCTTACTGCAAAATACATATGCAGGATATGTCCCAGAACAGGGGCCATCAGAAGTATCTACCTGCATCACCTTGGCTCATTCTGCCAAATCCAACAGGTGTAGTCTCTTTATCCCGTGGAAATTTCAGGTCACAGACCACTGCATAAGAACTGAAATAATCTGATTACTGTTTACATTACTGCTATTTATATATATAAATCATGCGCTGATACATCAATTGTGTATGTGTGATTTTTTTTAAAAAAAATATGTTTTGTTAATTTTTTAACATAATCACCTTAATATTTGGTAAACAGTGCGTTGTCTGGGTTTACATTTAAAAAACATTCATTAACAGTTAATGTCTATAATCTGTAATCCACGTGATAACTCTACTTGATTTCCTCTTTTCCCCATAATGTTCTCTTTTACCAACCTTAAGTTAATACAATTCTTGTTGTTTTAATGAGTGATAATTGAGTATAAAAGTTTTCTAATATTTCTACAAGTAATAATCACATCAATATAATATTCCTTTTCTATCTAGTCATTCCGGTTGTCTCATCATATATCCTGTTTACAGTTCTTGTTTACATTTGTTTTTCCCACAATGGTCTAAACATTTTTACAGGTTAAGATTTTCTCAAAGTTAATTGCATTTAAATATTTAAATCTATTCTTTCGCATGTAAGCCAACCCAATACTTTTACCTTTCTTAAGGAATAAATAAGACTAAAAAGAAAAAAAGAATAAGAATAAAAAAATAAAAATAAAATGATAGCATGCTACTTAAAACCCCTATTTCCTATAAGCTATATATGAACTTACCATCTGCAAGTGTGTAGTTTTCAATAAACTAAAGTGCATCTAACATTGTGTGAAGCTGACCATTTCTAAATGTTCTAGTTTCGGATTATGGGGTAAACTCAGCCAGATTTTAACAAGCCCTGCACAATTTGAAGGACTATGTTCTAAGCTATTAATATCTCCTGAATGATAAGAGATATCTCTTTATAGAGATCTATACATAAAAGGAACTTAATTTCCCACCTTTTTATTATACAGTTATAAATCTTGATATGTCGTATTGATTCAGAATAATGATGTTTATATGATGCAGATCTTATTAACAGTATATTATTAGATAGTTTACAACTGTTTTTTCACACTCAGCAACTTTAAGATGTATATGGAGACTGGGAGTCGAAACCCACACATCTTAAACGCTGGCAAGTTTGAAAAACGCCTGGCTTAAAAGATTGCAAATTGAGAAAAGAAAGAAATTCTATCAACATCAATTACAACTTAACATGTTATTATTACAAGCAAAAAATTACTAGGCTTTTTCATCCAAAGTCAAATATGACATTAAGAAAAACCCTGCCTGTAATTCACATCAAAGTATTGATGACATGATAACGATTTATTATCTTGTGCAGCTAAATAAAGCAATCAGTTCATCAAAACTCACCCATTATTTTTTTTTACTTTTAATTCATTCTGGACGCATGCAAAGTTAAAACCACAAAGGTGGGATTTCCGTTTGCGTCAGAAACATGTTAACTGCTTCAAGCTCAGAAGCCACATGTTACAAGAATTTGTGTCTGATTTCTAAACAAACACAGATTTGGGGAAAGTGTATTTTCCTGGCACATGCAGAGCGTTGAGAACATCTTGCAACTCTTCGAAAAATCTTTTGCAAACACCTTTCACTAAGCAAATAAGTTATTTCGGTTTCATTGTTGGCTTCTGGCCTGGTCACCTTATCTGCACAGATAGCTGGCTTATCAGATACCAGCTTAACAGGTGGCTTTTGGGAAACCCAGAGTAAACAGCCCTTGGACTAAAGGTTATCCTGCATAGCCCAAGAGATGCAATTGAAAAGTTCAGAGGGAGCAAAATAGCCAAGGCATTCCAGATAAAAAATGAAAAAGAACGACTGCCAACACAGGAAAACGAGTAAGTAAACTGACTTAGGAGAGGGAAGGAGGGCAGGAAAATGGATCTGCTGGGCATTAAATAAATGGATCGAGCAGCACTTGTAGAACTGGATTCAGAATGCTTTAAGGTTTTAGGAAGCTCTCTTCCTCCCCCCAAGCAAAGCCTTCCGGTTGACTCACAGGCAGAATGGAAGGTTTATTTGGGAGAGAACATAAATTGTCCTACTTTGGACAGCTTATGGGAAGACCCAGCTCTCTGGAGAAAGCTCCACTGCTGGGAAAGTTGGAAGGAAAGAGAAGACGAGAACTACCAGCAAGATGGGTGGACTGGGTTACAATGGCTGTGGGGGCATCATTGGAAGAGCGGAAGGACCAGGTTAGGGATAGATTGTGACAGATGTGAACACCATTCCAGACAAATGACTGTCCAATCTCTTCCTAAAAACCCTCCAGTGAATGAACACCCACAACTTCTGGAGGCAAGCCGGTCCACTGATTCATTGTTCTCACTGTCAAAGTAATTGCATCTCAATTACTTTGGCCCTGTCATACAGAGAAATTCACTCGAGAAAGCAATTATGTTGGAAGAATTAGCGGTAAAAAGAAACAAGGCGGTCAAAGAACTTGGTGGGTGTGCCAAAGCTGATGGAGCATAGAACAACTCAAAAGAATTAGTGCCCAGAAGACGTGGAGACACCTGGTCCACAGAATTGCTAAGAGTTGGACACAACTGAATGGATGACATCATGTAGTCCTTGACTTATAACCATCCGTTTAGAGATCATTCGGAGATAGAACATAGAATAATAGAGTTGGAAGGAACCTTGGAGATCTCCTAGTCCAGGGGTAGGCAACCTTGGCTCTCAGGAATTCTGGGAGTTGAAGTCCACGAGTCATAAAAGAGCCAAGGTTGCCTACCCCTGTTCTAGTCCAACCCCCTGCTCCTAGACCTGGGGTTCCCAACCCCCAGTCCATGGACCAGTACATGCCAGCAACCGGTCCACACAAACAAGCAAAGCCCCATCCACGGGATGCAGGCAGCACACAAAACCACGCGCCCTCCAATCCACGTGAAAACCTCTCTCCACGGAACCGGTCCCTGGTGCCCCAAAGGTTAGGGACCTCTGCCCTAGACCATTTCAGACAAGTGGTTGTCCAGTCTCTTGTTGAAAGCCTTCAAGGATTCAGTGAACATTATCATCCCTGCCAGGAATTTTCTCCTTATTTCTAGGTTGGTTCTTAGCAATTTGAAGATGTGTGAACTTCAATTCCCAGAATTCCCCAGCCATGCACTGGCTCTTCTGGTTACTTTTTTCCTCCACTGTATATTCCTTCAC